CGTTCGATTTACGGGTTTGTCTGAAGCCTTCCCTATCCAAAATTGCTCTTCGGAAACGGCAGTGAAAGGTTTTCTGGGGCCTAAGGCAGCTCAATACAGCTGTGCGCCGTCGTGATCATCGATCGAGGGGCACATTTCTCGTCGACATTTGCCATGTTGCTTAAGGATTTAGGCTGTCGCCATCCGGCAGCTAACGGCAAAGTCGAGCTTTTTCACCGCCCGTTGAAGGCAGCACTACGTGCGCACGCAGATCCGTCATGGTCTGAAACACTTCTCCTCGTCCTCCTAGGCTTAAGTAACACAGTTAAAAACGTTTTCGACGCAACACCAGCGCTGCTACTCTATGGTTGCCCGCTGCGGTTGCCCAGACAGCTGGTACCACTAGTCCCGTCTACTTCTTCTTTCGACTACGGAACATACGCCGATCGATTTTCTCACCAGATGCGTGAGCTACGTCCAATTGTTCCTTAATCGTAGAAAACAACAGGGTACCTGCCTGAGAAGCCGTCTACTTGTTCACACTGCCTACTTAACTCATACGGTGTTCGACAGCTTCTTCGGTCGCCGTACATTGGACCTTTTATAGTGCTACACCATGCGCGTGATACGTACACTATTGACCACGGTAGTCGACGCAAAGTGGTTACCATCGACCGTCTTATGCCGGCGTTTATGAAAGAAACCACCTCTCCCACTTCGTCTAGTAGTGCTTCGTACGACGTCAAAACTCACCGCACCAGCTTTCAGCATCCTAGTATAGTTCAACCAGACCAGCATTCCGGTCAACAGGCCTCAGCCGTTCCCAGCTCTCCCGGATCTAGCCCGTCGCCTTCCATGAATAATCGTCGTGGTCAGAATGTGTGTAAGCCCGTTCGTCTAGCTGTGTATGTACAGTGTAAATACCTTTAGCCTTGTAGCTATTGTATATATTTGCCCCGCTTTTGGTCGCTTAACCATCCGTAAACAAACAGAAAACAAAAGCATCCGAAAAACCTTCTCTAGAATATAGCAGAAAGCAAACAGTTGAAACTGGCAAATCATTCGTTCATTCTTTCTGGTTTTCCGCGCTTGTTTTTCCATTCTGTCGTCCCTACACGCCTCAGCGGTTCTCTTTGATTGACTGGCCTGCAAGAGCAAGGTGCTCGAGGACAGTGAAGCGAACGTTGGTCATTTCTCCTCGGGACGAGGGTCACTGCTTCATGGGACGACGGTCTGTTCTTCTTGGGACGATGGTCGTTTATTCATGGAACGAGGGTCGTTTCCCAGTAGGACGATGGTCATTTTGGCTTGAGGCGGGGGGCGGTGGGGAGTGACCACTCCAAGCTCACCGCTCTGCAGCAGCGGAGGTGGAAGTCCTGTCTGCCGTTATTTGGGCTAGCCAGACGTTTGTAGTCCGACAAGTCCGCTTCAACGGCTCGCCGAACTGCACCCTGCCTTACAATCAATAAATAATAAATCACATACAGCACAGCGGACTCCAACTTCTGGCTAAGCCCTATTTGACTTGAACGCTCGCTCATTCTTACTCAGCACGATTTTGCCATAGGAACCTCGACTCACCAGTCATTTTCGGTATAGATGACTTTCTATGTTCGGCTTTCTAGGGGACCTCTTCGGCGTCCAAAAGGATAATTGCTATCTTTATGTACTATTTAATTGTTGACCAATTGTACATTATTATTTCTTGTTCTAATCTTCCTCACAACCGGCTCGACTCTCGACCGCCTTGTAAGTTCCCGCGCTAATGTGTACCTCCTGCCTTGCTTCAGCCGTCCTCGACTTTTTGTAGCCCATCGAATACAGTCCGCTTTGTCTGACTCCAATTGTCTTTTGACATCAGCGCATACCTCCGCACCAGTTTGGACTAGTAAATACTAGTCCTAAAATATGTATATCTGGAAGCATGTTTCCATAAAAAATATATATGCGAATGGTATAACACTTACGCACACATAAAAATTTATTTCAATTTTTATAAATGCGTGAGGGATGTGTGCGGAACTATTTCGTTAAATATAAGCAGCTGACACACAAATATGTAGATGTGTAATTATTAGAACGTGTATATATGTGTATTTGCCCCATGCTGAGGCTGATGTTGCATTCTTGATGCTTCTTCACCGCAGTTGGGCTAAACTAACTTACACTTAAACTAGGTCCTTTTAAGCTGGCTAAATTTCATTCCCCTTTATTTGGTTTGTTCTGCCTCCCTGAATAATGTTCTATTAACTGGCCACGTTGCTTACACTAATTGCGCTTACCTTCGGTAATTTTGTTGCGTTTGTAGCATTTTAAGTAACTTGTGGACATTTCTTACTTATCACGGATTTGTTGCTAACCAACTTACTTCATATGGTAATTTAGCGAAGAGTTATGCCACCGTGTCTGTATGCATTATTGGATTTATTTAATTTCAGCTTGTCGTTTAAAGTGAATGGCTGTTGTTTGATATCCCTGGTATGGTTGCGCTTGATGTGTATGTTGACAAGGTGCCTACCTGTCTATTACCCACTACATCCTTCATACTGGCTCCAGGAGACAGTTGGTCGTTGCTGGAGGGGACGGGGTGCACGGTTCTTGTGGCCGTGCTAGGCTCAAAGAGCGGTTCCATGCACTCAGTGTGGAGCGGACTACGGTCCAGCCACCGCCTTGTGTGCGGTTGATTCCCCAAATACAGCGTGCTTGTGTTTGCCTGTGAAGGAGTGTGGGCCGGCTCCGTTGATGAAACGTGGTTCCCATCCGCATGCCTCCCGGTCTTATTCCTTCGGGTTTACACTGGATATGGGGTGTGTGGATGGAGCTGTGGGTGGTGCAGCGCAAGCCATCCATGGTCCCTCTGTAGGCGCAGGCGTCCTGTGGCTTGCCACAGTGACAGGCAAATCGGAAACCGGATGCCGCCAACCATATATGTGTATTATTTGAGGCTCCATGCTAAGGCGCATGTGGCACGCCTTTGGTTTTTCACCGCAGTTGTTAGAATGCCATCGACACCTAATATAAGTAGCTTTAAGCAGGGTAAATTTTATTCTATTTCACTTGTTGTTTGGCGATGGTTCAAGAGTCTAGAGTGAAACCGTGCACGTGGCGTACACAGATGGTGAGGATATTTTTGACCTTTTGTTCCGTTGGCTTGAATATTTTAAACAACTTGGAGACAGTTGCGTTTTGCGTTTTGCTTAGTAAACAAGCTGCTTTACATGCGGTTTGAATCTGAAGGTAGGTCGGCATAGTTGAATGCCACAACAGATAAATGTTACTTTATAATTTCTTTAGTAATGAATGTCTGTTGGTCTGCGTTGGATAGGCATATTGTTAATGTTGGTCCACGTACTTGTTGACTCCAGGAGTCGGTTGACGTTGCTGAAGTGGGCGAAATGCATATTCTTTTTTCCATGCTAGGATTGAGTGATGTTTTCATATACTCTGAGTTGCAAAGACTGCGGTTCACTGAACGCCGTGCTTGCCAGTTAGCCTCAAATACATCGCTATTGTGTTAGTATTTGTACGACATTTTGCACCCGCTTTTAATGAAACCTTTGTCTTATGCACATGCCACCCCTTGTTATTTCTTCGGAGTTCCCACTGCATTCGCAGTGAGTGTTTGGAACTGTAGGTGGTGCATCAGAATGCAAGCATGCACAGCTTTTAAGCACGGGCCCGCAGTTATTGGCCGTCTGGTTGAACGGTGGCAGGGAAATCCCTAGGAGAATGCCGCCCGCCAGGTTTAACTTAGTGTATACAGGGAACTTGCAGACAGGTGTGGGTTACATAAGTTATAGTCAAGCTTTGTGGCGTAAGAATGATTGCGTTTAGGATTATGCTGTTGAGTGACATAAGGGGTGAACTTGTAAGCTATCAACATCCGGGTGTGTAGGTATCGCCCCTATTTTCATCCTTAAAGTCACTGAATTTGCTACCTTAATTGTTCTGCTATACGGTGGCTATTGATGTACTTGATATTAGTTGTGTAACTGTAAAGAGCCGGCGGACTGCCCATTGAGGTACAAAGGCAATGGAATGAGGGCGCATGTGTTAGGGGATAAGGAGGAAAACAGCAAGTTAGCTATTCAGTGCATCGTCGCTCAATCCCATGCAAAGTGAACACGCATAGGCAGAGGACGAATGCAAAACACTACGTAAACACAGATGAGCACTGAGTCATGGTTTATAGATGATGTGGTAAGGTGCATGTGTTACCAACTATGGAAAATGATTATAGGTGACATGCTACCATGTTAATGTAGTATGAGCGAAGTAGAGGAAAAATTGGGGTTGCGAAATTGCCAACTTACTTGTGGAAAGCTATAAGAAGTATGAGGTGAGGTCTTAGCTGGGTCAGGGGAAACGAAGCTGGAAAGGGCAATACGTATGCGACATAAAAAGGGAAAAGGAAGTGCTCGCTGTCCACACCAAATTTATGTCCGCGTCATTGTTGGGAACGCGACTACGTAGCGCACTACCTACAATGCGTGGCTACTAAAAGGTGATGGGCTCTTAAGAGGGTCATTTTTGCGTTTGCTTGAGGTGACCCTCAAGGTGGGCTACGGTTGCGTTCACTTGTTTGGTTTTATTTAACAAGATGGAGCAGCTGGGCATGATGATGATGTGCAAGCCTTGTGAACGTCATGCCATATAGGCCTGCTTACCAGATGGTACGTGCAAGCTCACCACGAGCAGCGCATAGTGCACAGGAGAGTGCGGTCACTAAAGGCAGGAGAACATTGGCCACTGAAAACGTATGGGACACATGTATTTGCGCACAGTTGAGGCATGCGGCAAGCGGGCGGGTTGGGTTGTGAAGCGCCATATAATATGAACGGTATGTGCACTTACGGTAACGGAAAAACATAGGAACGATGACGGACGAATGAACACTTGCGGACGGTCCTCATATAACAATGTAGCGTAAATGGGTACGGCGAACAGGCCGATAGTGGTCGACCGTAGTATGCCCCTATGTAATGAAATAACACAGTCATATCAAACCCGCACTCTGTGTGTTCAAAAACAGCTGTTTGTAAGCCTACGGTTGCCCTTGGCGTAGGGGTGTCAAGCTAGCACCCCTACCCTGTTCTAACTTGTTCCGGTCTCACCCTACCTGCCGCCTTATATATTTCATGTTATTGTGTTGACACTGAAGAGACAATACGAAATGTTGCCATCTGCCAGTGTTCGTCTTCTTACGGCATTATTCAAATTACTAAAGGGATCTAACTGTTTCAAACAATAGGTATGCCAATACTTACCTCAGCAAAGTGTTACCGCTGGCACGTACTACTTGTGAAACAGGGTGACATTACTCACAATAGGTTGCGAGAACTGTTACATGGAAAGACATCAAAAACCTTGCTGGCAGTATACTTGCTATGAAGTGGGCTCTATAACTAAATGTATGTAAAGGTACCACGAGGCGAAATTTTCGAAAACATGCGCTGATTGTCAACTATGACACAGGTAGTTCGCGTGCCCACAGCGGAAAACGGTACGTTGTTAAGCATTTACAAAAGGATAAACAGGAAGGTTAAGCTATGAAATTTCAAGTAACAGGAAAGGTATGTCCACTTAACGAAACTGACTGGTAACTGAACGACGATGTAGATCGGCAAACACCGCGGATTTTCATTAAATGTAAACAGGCAGCTAACGGGGGAGGTGGACACGCGTCGAACTGATTGTCGGTCAATGGAAGGAAACAAAACAGGAGGGCCATGCAAACTGACATTCAGTGGATCTCGCCGATAACAGGAATGACCGAGGAAATATGCACTGAAATGAAAAGTAACTGGATAGATGCGGACATGCTAAACTGCTGCAGGAGCGAAATTCTACTACGTGCCGCATGTATTCTGGGACTAATGGTAACCAGTCCCACAACTCCTTTCATCTCTTCAAACGGATTACCTACTATAGGCTCACGACCTACATCGGTGGTCGTAAGTATTCAGCATTGAGGACCAGGTGGGACTGTAAACTGCCTAGAAGAGCTGTACAAAAACCGTTAAATACGACACCCGTGCGGTGCGCAATATCGCGTTGGCTATCACGTAGTCGGCTTTTTCGCTTATTCAGAGGCATTCATCCCTGAGTGGTAGATGGTTACAGGCCAGGAAACACTGTCTACCGGTCCTCTAGGTGAAGGACAGGAAGGTGGTGGCTCCATTTTTCCAAAACGGCATCCGTTTAGAGCAGCGACAAACCCGTTGTGTTGCGGTTAGATTGTTGAAGCAAAGGCTTTGGATGAGAACTGTTATTGTTCTCTTGTCAAGCCATGGACAACTAACCTGACAGTACCCAGCCCCGAAATACTGTGACTTCTTCCTCAAAAAGTTACGTGAGGCCATGACCAGCGCAAAGGATAATCAATGGTGTCCTGTCTACAGTATCCTGAAAGGTGGATAGGGGTTCGAATGCTGCTGGTCATGCCTTCCATCTGAGCTGCTATTGATATTCGGGTGGAGTCTGCAATGCTGCAACGTGTAGCGGGTCACCCGCACTCAGTGCACGCTGGCGAACCTGGAATCTTTCGAGTAAAACTAGGCTCAGCAGCTGAGACAGAGGCTGTCCCGCTATCAGCATTTCGTCCTTGCAAGTCACCGAGCGGAGCGCGCAGTTTACCTGATCTACCTTGGAAAAATCACCCAAAAGTAGCAGTTAAGCAACGCGGCGTTCCTAACAGTGATAGCAAGAAAACAAAATTTCCTCATGGTGTTCTCGAGCTTGTGAATTCTTCTGATCACGATGCGCAAACACGTAACCGAGTGCAGTGAGACTACATCCACGTAGCACCCACTGTTGACAATGTCATAACAAAATCCCTGTAAATAGTTCCGTCAGCATCTAATTACAAGGGCTGTGGTCCAACACTAAATATAGTACGGTTACACTCCGAGGGAATGACGCAGCTTTTTTGGATAGCTGGTTAAAATTTCCAATCAAGTTGCCAACAGTTATCCGGCTAAAGGCGGCGGCGGACGGCCAAAAGTCGCAAGGAAGTCGATGGAAATAGCAAATGCAGCAAATAATTTATCTGCACAGTCCTGCGGTGAAATGGACACAACTGCACTTACGGCATATAACCGGACAGAGCACAGCACGAGTGAAACGTCTGTTCAGAAACGCTCAATAATGCCCTGCAAGTTGACAGGAATGCCTAAACCAAAAAGGATCAATGCCTGGCCACCAAACGGCCGGCTTAAAAACTAACACAACATGGACATCCATTAACGCACTTCTAACAACAAAGCTCTGTCTTGTATTTACACAAACTTTCAAGGCCTTCTAAATAAGCTGGCCGTACTTAGGGAACTCCATGTTTTACAACCGCGGGATCACGTCATGACAACAGAGACCTGGTTTAACCTTGAGATAACCGATTCTGAGATCTATTTACCTGGTGTGTCGCTGCTTCGGACCGATAGAACCAAAAGGGGTGGTACGATTCTTTATTATAATACAAACCACCGATGTGAAGTTATCGACCACACGGAAATACTGACTACTGATTCACGTTAATGTCGCCTACGGTGGCAAAACAAGGACACATGTCTACTAGACCTTGTTTACCGCCACCAAACTCAGCGTCGGAAATGGACTCCAATCAGAACCGCGGCTTTCAGTTTGCTTTGCACAAGTCCAACACCCACATTTTAATCGCTGGTGACTTTAACGTACATGACATAAAAACGCCATCAACGAACGGTACGCAGTTTAAAGCTTGCTTGATAGAGCTAATAGCTAGTCACCCTCGATACAACCACGTGCCCTATCGCACCAGTTTTCAAACTGCCAACAAGCCGTCGATACTGGACCTCCTGCTCACTAACGAAGAAGCAATGGTTGCCGGAATAGATACAAGCAGGCCGTTTAGTCGTAGTGATCATATTAGTTTACTCGTTGACTACATACGCTATGCAGCGTACGGTAAAAATTGTAATGATAAAGTGCCTACTGTCATGCTCTATAAGGTATTATCCACTATTGTTAAGGATAAATCTTTGATTTCCTTAACCGAATGCCTCCCAGATGTTGTCTGGGAAACATTAACAAGGACGTTTAGCATACGGATTGTGCATGCTTTGGAGCAGAAGTCCTTCCAACCCAAACCAAATCATTTCTGAGGAGCAGAACACGTAAATGTATGCAGGAGGATTTGGCATGGCCAGATCACCAAGATTGCTCAAATGCATAAACCTGGACTGCATACTTGTCACATCGTAACTTCTGTGTAAAGCTGATCCACGAAGACAAGGCCACGCATCAGCAGGAGTTAATGGATCGATGCTGCAAGAACCGTAAACTTCTGTACAGGCACGTTAAAGGCCTTCGATAGGTGAAGCGGGGGACTCCAGTACTAGTCACGGCTGCTGGGTGCACGAGATGAGCGATGGTATCAGCCGATCTACTAC